CCCCTTTTCTTCAAAGCAGGATCCCAGGGCATTTTCAATGAGTCACTTCCACAACTGCTTTGGTGGAAGATTTGGGAAGATCCATGAGGAGCCTCTGCTCCCTTTCAGCTGCTCTCTGGGGTCTGCTCAGCCATGGGGATACCAAGGGCTGCCTCATAGCAGGGAAGGTGGGAATGCTAAATGATGGTCTGTATGTGCTGGTGTTTGGAGAGACAATTTGGGGCCAGCTCTGAGATTCAGCTGCCAAAATTACACGCCCTCCCCATGGCTGCCTCTGATCAAACACCTATGGCTGCACACGTTCAGGAGCTTCCCCTTCCATCCCTCTGCACAGAGCAGTGACCTGGAGCTTGGTCATGTGGGGGAGCTTCACGTACTCCCCTTCAGCTGTGATCCATGAAATATTCATATTTCAGGGACATAGAGGGATAAGTTCAGTGTTACCACAATTTACCTAATGAGGCTGAAGTTGAGCAGTGTGAGGAATGAGGCAATTGTTCATCAGCCTTTACACTGTGTTCAGCCTGGTGGCAAAGCTCAGGGGCCTTAGGACACTGCTCAGCTTTCCAGGTGAAGAGGAAACCTGGGCCTGAGGTCAGCCTCCCTGGAAATGGATGTCACAGGGATCCCCTCATGAGCAGTCCTTTCCTCCTACAGCAGTGGGGAACCTGGCCCTGTGTCAGCACCATGCAGGCTTTTAGACGGCAGTTTTCCCTTGCTGCTCCTCTGAAACCACAGCCATGCTCTCCCCAGCCCTGAGCACAGGTCTGAGTGCTGCCAAGAATCAGTCTCTGCCATTGCAGTGATGCAGTGACATCTGCACTAATGCTCCTGGCTGCAGCTGAGCTGCTCCTTCATCAGCTTTTCCAGGAGCACTCCTACTCACCAGGCTTATGATACACAACAAGTCTCATCACAAAATCACGGGATGGTTTGGGTTGGAAGGGACCTTATGATCATTTAATTAATCATTAAAGATAATTTAATTTCAAGCCCCTGCCATGGGCAGGGATACCTCCCACTAGAAGGTGTCTGAACCCCTCGCCCTTCTTGCTGCTTTGTTCAAGAGTGAGAAATGGAGTCTAAGATAGTGAGGAAATGTAGAAGTCAAGATCATTCCATCCGAATGGCAGAAGCAGGTTATGCTGCCAGATGTTTTACAGCAGGTGTTAAACATCCCAAAGGATGATACACCACGGGGCAGGACTGGCAAGGCCAATGTGGAACAGGGAAGCAATGCAAGGAGCAGGGTGTCTGCAGTCTCAGCCCTTGGCAGGCCCTGTACATACTTCTTGCAGAAGATGAGGCTTCTCTTGACTCTGTTTCATTTCATCTCCCCCATTCCTCACCCTCCCAGGATGCCCTCACCCTGCAGTGCCAGGCCACCTGCCAAACATTCACCTTGGCCACAGGATTTCTCTCTGGTCATGCCAATAGTGAGGGATGCTCTTCCCTTGGTATTTATGGTCTCCATGCCCAGCAGGGCAGTGCTGGCTCCTCCCTGAATTTCCTGTGGGCATCCCCTGACCTTACACCTTGTGCAGAGGATTGAGGCCATTACCCAAAGGGGCCACAGGGAGACTGTGTCACATCAGGATATTTACACTCTTATTTACTCCATGTCTTTGGGAAAGGGCTAAAAAGTGCCAAGCTTCTCCCAGTCTGACCATCTAATCCCTGGTTTCATGGCTCAGCTTGGGGCTTCTTCCCACAGCCCTGCAGGGCTGTTCTGTGTCATCTCTCAGGCTGATGGGAACTGGAGAGGGAATCTCACTGGTTTACAGGGCTGTTTTGAAACCCCTTTGGGAATCTGGCCCAGGCTGCTCTGACTTGCTTCCAGCCTACCTGCCAGCTTTCCTTCCCAGGAAGAGAAGGCTGGGGGGTGGCTGGGGAGCAGCCAGGTCTTGCCCTGACAGAGACAATTTTCTTGGAGTTGCTTTCTCCAGTTTCATGCTGGTGTTTGACTCATTGAGACCGGGTGGGTGCTGCACATCTGCCTGCTCCCCCATCAGTGTGGAGAACACAGAGCTGCTCTTGCTGTGCTCTTGGCAGAGCTGACTTGTGCATAGGAGCTGCAGGTCAATGCAAGGGAAATGTGAAGTCATTCATCTGCCTTCACCTCTTCCCAGATTTGCTGCCCTCCTAAAATATTCGGGCCAAGCCCTGTCCAAGAGCAAAGGTGCTCCAGTGGGATCTGTTTTTGCAGAAATGCTGGGACTTGGACCAGGTGAGCAATGTGGTTTTACTTAAGCAGCTCACACATTGCTGAGACCTGCACGGGGCAGTGCCTGCTGCTTCTCTTAGGGTTTTGGCATTTAATAAAAATATAAGTTTTCCTGTCTAGCCAAAGAGGAGAATAAATATTTCCCTTAGGGAGACAGAGGTTTTTGCACCTAAAACTTCCCAGGCTCTTCTGAAAAACCTGAAACAATGTTTTCCTCTCAAATTTTTACAGTTCTTCAACTATTGTGCCTGGTTTATAATCAGCATCTGGCCACAAATACTCATTTTAGGAACCCTGGAGAAATTTCTGTCTTCACCAGCCCTTACCATCCTGCTGCCTTCCAGGAGGTAACGCCCACGGGGTAACTGAGAGCATGGTTTGGCCTCCACAAGCCAAGAAAATGTGCTAAATGCTGTCAACAGAATGTAATCATAATTTGAGTTAAAGGGTAAATGTGGAGACTGTAATCGTCTCCACATGCACAGGAGCTGAGGGGTGGTAGGTAGATGCAGCTCTAGCAGCTTGGCTGGGATGGTGCAACAAAAGCTTGGCAGATTTTTGCCCAGAGCTTTGGTCAGCAGACAGGTGGGTGCTAAGGATGAGCATGGGAGGGTGGCTCCACTCGAGGAACACTGAGCTGGGATGGTTACTGGCCCGAAGGTGACAATTGGAGGAGTAGAGGCCTCTCATTGTTCTGGAGGACACTTCTTCAGAACAATCAGATGTGGAGGATAATGTGGAGAGTGTGGAGCTCTCTGCCACAGCACTGTTCTTGTTGCAGGGAGCTGTGCAGGGTGGGGCTGTGGGACCCTCACAGTCCATCCTGCAGCACCTGGACACTGGCAGAGCCCTTCTGCAACGGGACCACCCTTGGAGGCTGGATCCTACCAGGGCTGCTGGATCAGCATCAGCAGAGGCAGGACTTGCAGAGCTGCAATGCTCCAGAGTCCCACATGGCTGCACAGCCCTGTCCCTGCAGGCACTGGGAGCAAGAGCAGGGGACATGGAGCTCCCCAAGTGCTGGATGGCATCTCAGATGAGCAGCAAAAGGCAAAGAAAGTGTGAGAGCAGGAGCAGAGTGGAAGAGAGGAAAAATGAGCATTCAGCACAAATGGCTGTGGAAACAGAATTACCTCCCAGGGCTATGAAATCCTTTAGTCTTTCCCACAGAAAACAAGGGCCCATCTTTTCCTCTGCAGCTCCATCCTGCTTGGATGGCAGCAGCATCTGTCATCACCCTGGCTGCAGAGAAGGGTTGCCCAGATGCAGGCTGGGATGTTGCTGCATGTCTGCTACAGCTGCAGCCCAAACAAGGTTTTCTTCCATCAGCGAGTTCCCTGCTTCCTCCTGCAGCTCCCTGCCTTTGTGCTGCCTGGTGCCACAACTCTGCCCTCACATATTTGCCTGTGACCACCAGAAATGACTGGGGAGAAAGCCAGGCTGGGACCCGTGGGTCACCAGAGGAGACTATCCATCAGCCTCCCACCCCTGGCACAGCTCAACCTCTCCCCAGCTGAGCCCTTCTGGGTGGTCCCAGGATCTGCCAGTCTGTGAGGAAGAGACAATGCATGTCATGGTCCTGCCCTGAGGAGCGTGTCTGGGGACCAAGGCTTTGCCTGCTGCTGCCACTCCTGCCCGGTCGCTGGTGTTGGCACCACGCTGGGCACAGAGGGGCCCTGTCTCCTTGAGTGGCACTTCAATGCTGGGAAGCAGCATCTCCTTCTGCCATGACCTGGACCCCCTGCTTCTCCTGGCAGGAAGCAAGGGCCTGACTCTGACCCCAAGCCAGCATGAAGGGACATATTTCTGCACAATTGAAGGCATCAAGCACCTCTTCCAGTCTTTCAGAGCCTCAATTTATTTGTTTGCTTGTTTATGTTTCCTCCTGGGCCAATGTAGAGCACACGAGGCACAGGCCATTCATGCAGCTGTCACAGCACAGGGAATGTGTGGCCAGGCTGTGGGATAAAACTCTCCCTGAGTTCAGGGTGAGCCCCTTACTGCTAATCACACAATCACAGAATGGTTTGGCTTGGAAGGGACCTCAAGGCCCATCTTGTTCTACCCCCAGGCTGCTCCAAGCCCTGTCCAACCTGGCCTTGAACATTTCCAGGGATGGGACAAACACAGCTGCTCTGGGGACCCTGTGCCAGGCCTTCATCACCCTAATAGCCAAGAATTTCTTCCTGCTACCCAATCTTAGTGTACCTGAAGATGTGACCTGGAGGTGGGCTCATTCCTGCTTCCCAACCTCCCTGCAGTTTTCTGATGGATTGTTTCAGCCATGCCAAGCACATGGTGCACAATGAAGTCAGCTGGCTGGGAGTGATGCATGAGGTCATTTCAGAGATACCCACAGACCCCTGAGGATTTACAGGCCCCAAAGTCAGGCCAGCCCTTGCTTTGGTAGTCAGGCTTTGGGGAGGCTTTGTGCTGAGAAAAAGGAGACACACTCCCTGAGCAGGGAATGCATCCAAGCTCTTGGGATTGCACCTGGAATGGTGTCCAGGGCCTTGGAGCCCCTTGCCATCGACACTGCCCACATGCCCACACTCCCCTGCAGCAGCAGCACAGCCACAGCAGGAAAGCCCAGGCTCAGTCCCCAGCGAGCATCATGCCTGGGCATCCACTGATGCTGGTGCCTGGAGCCAGCCCTGCTGCTGCCCTCAGTGCATGGTGGCCAGGGACACGTGTGGGGCTGACCCCTGTCCTGCAGGCTGTGCTGGGGGATGGACACACCCTGTCTTTAGGACAGAGACTGAATCAGGGCACTCACAGGGTTTCCAGGCTGTGCAGCCCATCGAAGCCGTTGGCTCCCAGCCTCTGGATCCGGTTGTTGTGCAGGTGCCTGTGGACAGAACAGAGCTGGTCAGTGCGGGGTGCAGGCTGAGCTTTTCCCTTGGTCTGAGCTGTGGTCCCGAACCTCCTGTAAGCTGAGCCCAGCCTGGGCTGGGATGCCAAGGGCACTCACAGGGTTCCCTCTCTCACCCCATGAGACACACATTGGATACAGTAATGCTTGCAGAGAGCCACAGAGCTCCCACTCCCCTCAGGAATTCCAGGCTAATGTGGGAGCTTCCCTGAGATCTCCACCTTCTAGCTGCCAGGTGGCTGTGGATGAACATGCTTAAGCAAGAAGCTTCAAGAAACACCCTAGAGCTCACCTCACCCTGGGCTCAGCCCACCGTGTGGCTTCACCAGCTGTCCATGGCCACTGGGAGCTATCTAAGGACACAAGCATATTTGGACTCCTTGGAGCTTTAGTAGCAGCAAGAAGACTTTGAGTGCAAAATCATCCTGTTAGTCACAGTTTATTATCTTTTCATGGGGAAAAAGAAAAAAAAAAGAAAAAAAAGAAAGCAAAAAAGAAAACACTGCCAGCTCCTGGACCAGCTCCAGTTTGATTGCAATGAGAGCTGTCTTCAGTTCAGCGCTTCAGAGTACCTGGCTGAAGTGCTGGGGCCATGCCACAGGCTGATGCACATCTCTGCACCATAGGAACAGTTTTTTCCTGTTCCCCTTCATCCTGCTGCTACATGCCATGATCACCTAGTGCTTCCAGGCTTGGGAGATCCCAGCCTGAATGTTGGCATTGGGGAGCCATATGCTTGGGGGCCCCTGCAAAGCCACCTGGGGTAATTTTGCCTTGGAAGCTCTGTAGGTGATGAGTTTCTGGAGTTCTGGGTTCTGTGTTTCCATGGATCCCTCACTCCCCTGTCTCAGTCTTTTGGCAAACCCAAGGCCTTAATCCCTGGATTCCTTGTCTTGGAATATCAGAGACTCTTGTGTATGTGTGCACATCTCAGTGCTTCTTCCATGTCACCTCCTTTACAGCTGTGAGCTTGTGGCTAATTGTGCATGTCCCTCTGACATCCCACTCAAAGGCACTCTGAGTCCATGGAGAGAGTTCTCGTGAGCAGCCTGAGAAAAGTCTGCTGAAAACCAGGAGAAGACAACCCACTGCTGCCCAGCCTGCACTTCACCAGCCTGCACTTCACCCCCTTGCTTGCCCATGCTTGCAGTGCCATGGTCTGTGTGATAAATGCCCTGCAGGAGGGGCAGGTCTCTCAGGGCAGGTTTCCCCATCAGTTCAGATTCTCCTTTAACACCCAGTCCATGTGGTGAATTGCTGCCATACCACTCCCCTTGGGAGTCCTTTTGTCCCATGCCCATGATAGCACCAGCAAGGGATGCACCAGCCTTTGTCCAATGCTTCTGCCTCCTTCCAAGAGCCTGGGGGAGGCTCCATCCTGGCAGGTGGATCAATGATTTTTTCATTATTTGAATCTTGATCTAAATGTGTCTCAGCTTGAAAAATCTCTCACTCCACCTGGATTCAAGTGTGAGCTGTTTGGCTGAGCACAGGCAGCTCCCACTGCCAAATGTTCCAGGGTAAAACAGGAGGAAGCTGGCAGTGGAGGAAGAGCCAGGCTCTAGGGCAGTTTGATAGGGGCCTGCAAAACAGAAACCAGGCTGAGACGGATGTTTGTCATTGGGATGAGAACATACAAACATTTCAGAGGAAGGGGAAGGGAAAGATATCTGATAAAATATGTTTGCTCCTTTGAGCAAACAGGAAAGAAGAAAAGGATGTTGCCTGCAAGAAAACCTGGATTGTGACTTTTAGAGGAGAAAAGAAGCCTGAGATCAAAATGAGAATCTTATGGGAGACATTTCTCTTTGTCACAAGAAAAGAAGTTTGTGCCCAGATGGTTTTCTCTGTTAACAGCTCTGGTGATGCTGCCTTCTCTTCATTTGGTGGTGCCAACCACTTTGAGCTCCTTTGGCACTGGATGCTGCATTTGGCAAAGAGAGGGTTGGGGTCTGCACTGCTGTGGGATCACGTGGAGAGGTACCACAAGAGCCCCAGTGCAGCCGTGGAAAGGGGTTATAACCCTTTAAGTGCAGCAGAAATAAGATGCACAGCTCCATGGTCATCTTTCATGACAGGAAGAGCCAAGTTTATTCACAAACACACTTGGTTTTATAGCATGACTGCAACTCCCAGAGTAGAGAAAAGGTGATTGGTTCAGAGAGAAGACACCCCATTGCCAGGGCCTGGGCACACACCACAACAGGTGTTCTATCTTGTTATTAATTCCTTTTTATTTTGACCAAATTATCACCCTGGGAGAAATTCTCCCTAGCTTTGAGCTGGACCAGCTTATCGGCTGGGAACAGAGCTGAGGAGTTCCAGCCTGGAATATTTTTCAGGCTGTAATTTTCTTATTTTCTCAATATGTCTTACACCTCATGTCCCAAACCCCTGCCTGCTGTGGGGGGACAGTGTGGGGACAAGGGAATGCTGGATGCCAGGGAAGGTGTGAACTCCTGGAGCTTTGTCAGGTGTGACTGGACACTTGTCCAAGCTCGGACATGCTGACCAGCTGAGTGCTATCACTGCAGGCAGGCAAGGAGACAGCAGAGAAAAGCAATCACCTGCTGTGTTTATATTTGGCTCTAGAGTGCTTTGTTTGGAGGCAGAGTAATGAAAATCATCCGAAGGAAGTTCTTTGTTGGTGAGAAAATTATGAACGACCAAAAAAGGGAGTTATAAAATAATTTGCTGTCCAAGCCGAACTCCAGAGTTACCCAACCACATGGCAATAATAGAAACAAGAGAGCTGGAAAGGTAAACACTTGAAAAGACGTTCCTGTCTTCCATCCTGCCTTTTTTTTCCTCCCCAGTAAACAAATTTTAACAAGTGGAATTGCAACATCTCCAGTGCTTGTCAATTTGAGCTCAGCCCACACAATGTTATATTCTGCCCTGTAAATTACAGCTCAGCTGGTTTGATAGCAGCTCAAGGTACTTGATTCTGGGCTATAAACAACCCCTCCGATGCAAAAACATGGGAATTCTTGAAGCCTTTGCTGTTGGAGCTAGAACCCCCCAGTCTCCTGGGTGAGGACAATGGGATTTAGGATCTGGGTCTCTTCTTTGCAGCCCAGTGCCATGGAGTGAGGATGGGTTTGGGCAATCAGCATGGGAGAAGCTGTGCCCAGGATGAGGACAGTCATGGCTGTTTTGTGGGCTGGCCTGCAGCTGTGGCTGCCCCTGGATCTCTGGAAATGTTCCAGGCCACTGGATGGGGCTTGGAGCACCCTGGGATAGTGGAAGGTGTCCCTGGCCATGGCAGGGGGTGGAACTGGATGAGCTTTGAGGTCCCTTCCCACCCAAACCATGCACTTCCATCAGAAAACAGCAGCAGCAATTGTCCCACTGAGCCCTGGCAGGGTGGCACCACCCAGGATCTCTGCAGCAGCTCAAGAGCTCCCACCTGTCATGGGACCAGGTGAGCCCTTGCTGTGTTCTGCTGAAACCAACATAAATAAATGACAGTGGCTGCAGAATCTCACACAGGCTGGGGAGAGGGGCTGCAGCCTGGCTGGTGCCTCAGGTGGGGAGAATTTAGAAATAAAAGCAGAAAAAATATCAAACCCTGCATAATTCATTCTGACCCACAATAAGGAAACATGCAAAGGATTCTAAAAAGAAGATTTTCTCTCCTTGCCAAGAATTTCTTATCAGAAGTTTGGAATAAATGTGATTTCCCCCATCATTCATGCAGCACCCTCAGTCAAATTTGTTCAGTTTTCATTTGACTTCCTTTTCCATTCAGTTTTTCAGTCAATTAAAAGGTCCTGGAGAACACTGAGAAACAGCCCAACACAGGCAGCAGCTTCAACTCTGGCAATGCCACCTCCAAGGGGACTGCACATTTGTCTTGCACAGAAGGGAAGCAGGTTGAGCTGGTGCCTAAATCCTGCTTTAATGATGGTGCTTGTCTGTATGGGCAAGGAAAGGGAAATTGTATCAACATCTGCACTGAACACTGAAAGCAGATCTGGCATGAAAAACGTGCTGATACCCAAACTGGTAACTGGATGTTGATGAACTGAAATGGGTGCAGAGAAAAGCAATAAAAATGATCCAAGAGCTGGGAAAAAAATAGGATGGAGACTTAGAGAACTCAATCTGTTTAGCTTATTAAATAAGATCAAGGGGATGAGTGCAGTGTAATGTATAGGATTCTTCCTGGTTAGAAACTGGGTACTAAAATGGTTCTGTGATTTAGCAGAGGAAAGAATAATAAGAACAAATGTCTGAAGTCAAAGCCAAAGAAAATTCAAATGGGAAAGATGAGCTTTTTTTTTAACACTAAGGATGATTAACCACTGGAACAGACTACAAAGAGAAGTGGTGGATTTGCCATTGCTTTCATTTCTATGAGTTCATTTTTTTCTTCTCAAAAAGGGCAAATGCAAACATTTTCCATCAATTATTTGCATTAGATGATTTGAACCAAGCTCAAATCTGACATCATATGAATTCTCCCCTGACCAGCCACTGCGATGATGGGCTTCCATTTTTATTGTGGCAAAATTGTCCTTTTCCTCAGCTTGGCCATGGATAAGTAGAGAAATCGAAATAATAAATGGTGCAAATTCCATGGATTGTTTCCATTAGTGGAGGACCAACATGAGACTTGTCTGGTGAAGAATAAAGCTCAATCAGAAGTGACATTCTCAGGGTGAATAGGAGCACGATTTGATTCTTCCTCAAGTGCTGGAGAAGGAAATCCACTTTTGCCAAGGCAGCAAGCTTGGTCCTCTGAGAGAAAAGGCACTTTTGCCAATTAAAAGGCTCATGAATGGGAGCCAGATGTTCCAGGCAATATTGTTCTTAGTGATAATGAATTGCACATGCCTGGCACTCCCTGCCAACACCGAGGCTCCCAACAGCTTCCCAGAGGGGCACTGGTAACTCCCCTGCATAGGTGAGGGCAGGGATTCACAGGCTCACCTGCCCCAGACTGGGCTGGGGGTGCCCCAAGCCCCTCAGATGTCAGCTGAAATGACTGGTGAGCAGCTTCCCTGGAAAGCAGGGATGTGCTGATGTGAAGACACTGAAAAGCAGTGATCCCTTCTGAAAGTCTCAGCCAGAGTTACACCAGAACAAGGACAAAATAAGAATGGGAACTCAGGAGTCTTGCAAACAAGTTTTATCTTCTAGTGACTAAACCATTCTGTTAGAGAGAGAGTTGCATCATGTCCTTTAATGACAAAAGCTGTAAGAAAGAGTAATTCTACTAAAATACTTCATTTACTGTCTTCACACTTTCAGTTGGAAGTGCTGCTGAGTGACCTTGATAATAAATTATCAGCTGATATTCAGGTTGTGTGAATGTCAAGTGCAGCAGAGGGGAGAACCAGTTTTATATGGGCATACACACAATCAGGCTTTTAGATATCTCCAGGAAAGAGGTCTTGGTGTTTAGTAGCAATGAAAAAAGCAAATGAAATGACAGGGATAGCTAGAAGAGGGAAAATGGGCATAGAACAGCATTGTACCATGACATAAACAAGAATTAATTTTTGTCTTTGATACAGTATACAGATTTGGTCTCTCCATCTGAAGGTGTGAAGGAAAAAATAAGTGCGATATGAGAACTTACTTCTGATTTTACACAGACAGGACAAGGGGAAAAGAGAGTAGATTATTTTTTTTAAACTGAGAGAGGGTAGATTTAGATCAGATGTTGGGAAGAAATTCATCCCTGTGAGGGGGGGGGAGACCCTGGCACAGGGTGGCCAGAGAAGCTGTGGCTGCCCCATCCCTGGAAATGTTCCAGGCCACTGGATGGGGCTTGGAGCACCCTGGGATAGTGGAAGGTGTCCCTGGCCATGGCAGGGGGTGGGACTGGATGACTTTTGAGGTCCCGTCCCACCCAAACCAACCTGGAATTCCATGTTGCAAAGCAGGTAACTGGGTGGGGTCTGGAAGAGCTGAGCTGAGGGCAGGGAACAACAGCCAGTAACAAATACAGCAATGCACAGAGGAGATGGACACAGCACAAGAATCAGAGGGTGTTAAGCAAAACTAACTGGTAATGGCATGAGAACAATTTTTCCCAGAGTCCATTTTTCGACCAGGTAGGCAAGGATGAGGAGTGGAGCTTCTCTTTGCTCCCATTACGGGGCCAAATTGACTCCTGGAGGTTTCCAGGAGCCAAGGCTCCCTGTGGACCCAAACAAGGAAGGATCTGGGTTTTCACCCCATTTGCTCTAACTTAAGGGGTTCTCTGCTATGTGATGAAAGTAAAACTACTTGAAGATTTTCTCTATCCAGGTCCCTCATTACAGGGCAGAGCTCTCTACTGCTTGGCCTGTTTTGGAAGGTTCACTCCAACTGTGTGTCCCACTCACATCCCAGCACCTCTGCTGACAGCTCCTTGGTGACATCAGGACAGAAGGGAACTGCAGCCCACTGCAAAGATGGGACAGCAAGGACACATCTGCAGCATGGGGGATCTCTTGGCAATGGAAGATTTTACTTGAGGACCCCTCTGGCGAGAGGGACTGAAAGAGGTGCTGTGATTCCTGGCTTGAGACTTCTTGCTGAGTTCAGCTGACAGAGGGAATGAGGGACACTGCAGAGAACTGCTGTCATGCACTTTATTGGACTGTCAGCACAGCAGCATGGGGGTTTCAGATGCTGACTGCTGAGTGAAAAATCTCTTATGCATAAGAAAGATGATGATTTTTGTAAAACAACCTTTACTTCATATAAACTATCAGCTGAAAACTATTCAGGATTATTTCTGTGTACAGATACTAAGATACATTTGGTCCTTAACAGATCAGACTGGAAGGTAACCACCTATTCCCATCAGCTATCCTGATCAAATATCCACCTCTTTTCTGCCATCAAAGCACAGTGCCAGCACCCCAGCACATGGAGCCCTTGTTATTAAAGCTGGGAAAGGATGGTGCTAATTACAGAGATTCATGGGTTTCCTGATGAGTGATGTACACAAGGCTCTGCTCACTGAACAGCCTGCAGCCCTAGTTCGAAGTCTGCAGCAGCAATAGATGGGAATAAGATCAGGGAATTCCTCAACAAAGGTGTAATTTATTAGCAGACACTGAACCTTTAAATTATTCCAGATTGAGGCTGGCATACTCTGATGTCAGTGCTTGTGGCAGGATGGTGAAATGGTTCTGCCTAGGGCCCAAGGTGTGTGGAGAACAGCACAGCTCTGCACCTGGGAGGCTCCTGCCCTCACCTGTGCTCAGCCATGGCCCTGAATATTGACCAGGCTGTACAGGCAGGATTCCCTGTGCTCAGCCATGTCCCTGAATATTGACCAGGCTGTACAGGCAGGATTCCCTGTGCTCAGCCATGTCTGCCCTTGGCTTTCTTCCCCCAGGGGCTCATTTAAGACCCTGTATCTGGGAATTTCCAATGTTTATAGCAGCACATCCTCCATCTACCTTCAAATGCAGACATTTCCAGGGGAAGGCACACATCATCTGCACCCTGGTAGGGAATGTCTTCTCTCAGCTTGGCTGTTTTGGGAGGATTTGCTTGTCAGCTCGGTGGGTGAGTCTGGAGCAGGGACATTGCCCTGGCTGGGACACAGGAGGGACACTGGGTGACTTTCCACTGCTGATGTGTTGACAAGAGCTTGCATGGAAGCATGGGAGAGATTTATGGGACTAGTTCTGCCAAACACTTGTGATCCCACAAAAATGTAGCATCGTGTCCCACAGAGCCTGGCAGGATCACACATGTGTTCCCTTCCAATTGTGTGTGGTGGGACATTATTCTCTCCCTTGTGACCTAATGGTCAATGACTTTTATTTCTGAAGCTTGCCTGTTTAATTAAGGAGTTGCTTCTTGCCCACAGTATGGGATGAGCCGGAATGAGAGCAGCATGCTTTGGAGGCTGAAATGAAACCCCAAATGTCAGCTCACCCGCTGAGCGAGCTATTAAAGCCGACTGAAGTGGTTGCATTATGGTGGCCAGGGGTTGCCTTGCAGAATGAGTACTGTTGTGGGTGAAAACTACTTTTTTGATTTTTCTCAAGTTGCTTTTTGCTTTTCTCCTAAATAAGCCTTTATGCTTTGTCTAAACAGATGAATTTGATGCTTAATAAAACTCTGAACTGTGCTTTGTCCAAACACTTTCTATGCTGGATGGTCTCAGTAAACACTTTAAATTTTGAAAGGGAAATAATTGCTAAACTTTCACTAAGGCACTACATTCTGAGGTTACTTAACACCCTGGTATCAGGACAAATTACCAAACTAGAGGTGGCATTTCCTGTGGATAGAGGAGCTCTACAGCAGCTGGCAATCACACCCGAACTTCCTAATCAACACCAAAGAAGTAATAAGTATTTGATTTGCACATGCCAAGTTCCTTTTAAAGGGAAGATAATCTGCAAGCCTCTGTTGATAGAAAGGATGCCCCTCCTGAGCAGTTGCCAGAGGGATCAGTTTCCTTTCTGGTTTGGTGTCTCACTGCCCATGGAGTAAGGGTTTCCACGGCTCCCAAAACTGCCCGTGAAATGCTTACAATACAAATTGGACAGCACACCTGAGCTGCACATGTACCACAGTCATGCAAATAAGCAGGCACGGGCTTGGACAAGGTGTTGAAATTAGACTTTTGGTTTAAAATCATATTTGATAATAAAAGGGGCTGAGGGGGGAGGAGAGGGAGTGAGCTGGTATGTTTTCCAAGAAATTAAAATATTACTTTTGTGACCTGACTGCAAATGGTTGCAATATAATTTTTTTTCATGTTGCTAGAAATTCCTCTAGTTTTAACACAGGGATTGAAGGGAGAAAAAGAAATGAAAAGGTTTTTGTTGCTTGAGTCTTTGAGGAAAACAATTTGGTTTTTGTTACCGATTTTTTAAAAATACAAAACATTTCTTGAATTATATCAGGGAGCTTTGTAGCTCTTCATTGAAAAGTGGGGAAAATATGGCAAAAAATCAAAAGAGGCAATTTTAGCATCTCCTATCAAAGAGGGGGATTCCCTGACTCTCTGAACAAAAGCTCTGTCCCTTGCCCCAGCAGCAAGACGGGATTCCCGCAGGAGGAGGAGCCCGTGGGCAGCACCCTGTCCCAGCCCTGGCAATTAGAAGCGGAGAAGGCTTACAGCACCACGAGGCTGCTGAGGTTCTGGAAGGCGAAATCTGGGATGTGCCAGATCTGGTTGAGGGCCAGGGTCATGGCCTGGAGCGCTGGCAGGTGGTTCAGGGCTCGCACCGGGATCTCCGTCAGGGCGTTGTCGTCCAGCCACAGGTGACGCAGGGACAGCAGCCCCTCAAAGCTCCTGTCGGGCACCTCGGAGATGAGGTTGGCATCCAGGCGGCTGGGGGCGAGAGAAACAGGGTGGGTGTGGCTGTAGAGGCAGGGGTGACATGCAAATAGACACACTGATGCCTAGAGGAGCTGGAACAGAGGCTACACAGAGCTAAGAGGAATTAAATGGGTATTTATTGAGTGGCCTGCAAAAGGCCACACCCTGGCAGTGTCAGTGCCACAGTGGTGGCCCCTGCCTGGATGGCTCCAAGATGGAAGCAAAGGAGGGCTTGGTCACAAAATCTCACTTTTTATAGGTTTTGGTTCATTTGCATGAACCTGCTCTCCTCTTTCCACGTTGTTTATGCTTAGGGCCTGAAGTTTGGAGAAACTGTCCTTGAGTTCTTAACTGGAATAGAACTGTTTTGTCTTCATCACCCCAGCACATCAGAAAAGCACACCCAAACAGAATAGAAAAACTTAAAACCTAAGGCATCAACACTACATCTCAGAAGGCCAATATCCCCTTTATTACAACAGCATGCTGTCTTTTATACCCTCTACAGAGTTTACACTTTGTTCATTGGTTACTATAGATCGATATAACGTTCATTGGTGTAAAACATCTATGCCTCTGTTTTTCCCAAATTTTCTAAAAATACTTTTCCCAGCTGCAGGTTTTCTTCCCTGGTTATCTCTTTTCTCTTTCTTCTCTTCTTGGTCTCCACACCAACAGCCTTGGTCAGAAAATACTTCTCAAAACAAACCTCATTCATTAACTCTCTCCTGCCCACAGACCAGCTATGGGTCCTGTATAGGTGGGGATTGGTGAGAGAACTGCCCAGTGTTACACAAAGCAAGTGATTGATGGCCAGGGAGATTGGGCTGGGCTGCAAATAGTGATTAATATCAGAAGATATCACTGACACTCCTCCTGTGCTGGGAGATGTCTGGCTGTGGGAGTCAGCCTGACCAGTAATCCAACTCAGTCAACCATCACTGAAAAAATATTATACCCCAACCCTAAACCTTGGGAGGCATTTGTTTAGTTGTGGTGACCCAAGAAAAAAGTTCCAAAGAGAATACCTCATACATATTCCTAACCCTCATTTCCCAGTTAATTATCACCACTCCCAGTTCCTAGAATGTTCTCCCTTCCTGGTATCCCCATTGGCCCTCAGCTGATGCAATGTTCCACCCAACCTACCCCACTGGGCCCTACCTTCCCTTACTCCACCTCTGCACCACTTTCCCCTATACCCATGGACCCAACCCCAACTCCACTCCCTCTCTATACCCTGGATCTCCCTGTATCTTTGTCTTCCACCACCGGCTCCTAAAGAGACCTTCTCCCCTTGGTTATTGTATTCAGATTTTTGGGCCTCGTCCCACATTTACTTTCATTATTATTGAAGTGTTTTATGTTACTAAGTCGTGGTCATCATACCACTCTTCTTTTCTTTTATTTTTGCCACTTTTGCCCTGATATCTGAGAACCCTAAGAAGTATTGTCAGGGACCACCCCTGACCCTGATATCTGCCCACCACTAAGGACCATCCCTCCTCGGTGGTGGCAGCTCCTGAAGGTGCTGGGGCTGAGCTCTCCCCTTGCCCCCGGGCCACCCCCTGCACTCAAAGCTGCATCTCCTGGGCTGGGCTTGCCATGGATGTGCCCGAGCAGCCCCAGCCCCACAGCCTGCACACACCCACGGCTGTGTGGGACCAGCCACAGCCCCATGGCAGAGGGAAAGGATCTGTGTGGGAATGGGGAATGTGGCACAGCCCTGCTCGGGGTCCTGGACACGAGTCAGACCCCGTGTCCTGTGTTCCTGCTCTGCTATCACACCTCTGTGCCTTTCCTCCCCTTCCATTTGCCAACTGCTTCTTTTTTATCATCAGGGAAAGCTTAAGGCGGATGGATTTGAGTTTTAATTTGGTGGTTGAATTAGAGTTTTGATTTGCTGAGAAACTTTAATTTTGAACACTTGTTTTTTGTTTCAAAATAGAATGACAAGCCAAAAAGTATTAAGGTTATTTTGGAAAAAAGTTTAAAACTTAGGTTTGGGAATCATCTCTCTAAAGACCTGTTATTGCAATGATGGTGAGCAGGATACAAAGTGTTATCTGTAGATTTTGAAACCAAATTATAAGAGGAAAATACTTCAGATTTGGATGAAATACCAGGAACCAATTATATAAAATTTTAATTTCCATCCATGGCCAACAGAGCTTATTTTATTTTTCCAAGCTATCTAAGGCAGAGATCTCTGAATTCAAATTGCAAGGAGGAAGCACTTTGCCTCTTATCAAAGCATGAGAGAAGGAAGTTAAGAGAGCTGTCATGGCCGAGCCCTCAAATCAATGATACTCCAGAAAGGAATGTGGTAAAGAAATTATTATTCTTGACTATATAAAGTAATATTTTTGATAGAAGTTGAACACTAGAGCAAACCCCAGACACTGTTATCCCCAGGCATGACCCTTCTTCAAAGAGTGCTGACATTTCTGGCATTTCTTAATCCACAAAACACTGCAATGAACTGCAGGAGGAGGAGACCAAACACCCCATCACAAATGGGAGCAGGGAAGGGGCTGGGTGCAAGCCCTGATCTCTGCAGGAGGGTGTGGGAGGTATTTCCTGGATCAAATTCTCAGATATTCCTGGGAAACAGACCTTCCCTGCATCACAGAAAAAGCATTTCCTGCCCTGGCTGGTCTGACCTGGATGGACAAATTTGGAGATTTGTACCTGGTTAAGAAGTGCAGTCAAACCTTCCTGAGATCTCCTTCAGAAAAATGTCCTTGAAATGCAGAGTACAAGCTCTGGTACAGCATCACCTTGGACTAGAATGATAGCCCAGGGTGGGTTAAATTCCTATTCCATTACTCCCATTTTGCCAGCACCTCAGAGGGTGCTGAAGCCCTGGCACAGGGTGCCCAGAGCAGCTGTGGCTGCCCCTGGATCCCTGGGAATGTCCAAGGCCAGGTTGGATGGGGCTTCTACTTGTGATAGTGGAAGGTGTCCCTGCCCATGGCTTTGAACTTGGGCTTTGAGGTCCCTTCCAGCCCAAATCATTCCGTGATTCTGTGATTCAATTTTCCCAAATTTCAATATCCTTGCATTGCTGAAAAGGACATTTTCTGGTGCAAGGCTGTTCAGTTGAGAGGATCACAAAAGCACATCACACCCAAAGCTCCATTCCCACAGATTTTGTGTCTTTGCTCAGAGGCCTGACACAAGACAATGGATTTTGATTTTTCCTGTTGAGAGAGTGGGCATTGCAAGTTCTGCCCCAATTTCCTTACTGCCTCCCAAACTACAAACAAATCCAAGAATAACATCATTCATCTTTTCAAGACAACAACTCCAAAGAATAAAGATCAGAAAAGCAAACACTGCAGCAGCTCAGAGCAAGGCTAAGAATTCTATTTGAAAATTTCATCAAAATGTTTTGGGACAAACAAGAACTTTTTGGGCAAAATTAAAACTTCTGCACGAAATGTTAATCTTTGCTTATTTTTTCCATTCCATCCTCGGCACAAGAATTGTGTTAGGTTTTGGCATCATAAACTGTTAAAAAAAAAAAAAAAAAAGCAGCATTGCTTCCTTTTCCCAGAGATATTCTTTCATTCAAATCCTGTAAGTTCACTGAAAATTGTTTTAAAGTGAGTGCTTGTTTTCAAGTTTAATTAATTAAAGAACAGACAATGAAAATACCCATGAGAATAGTAATAATTTCTCAAACCCAAAAACAGCTTTCAGAAGTGGAGATGCTAAACCAGAGCTGAGTATGGGTATGCCAGGCTGAGCTGGGACAGGAATAGGGACAGGGACAGGGACAGGGACAGGGACAGGGACAGGGACAGGGACAGGGACAAGGGGGTGAAGTGGAGCCCATGGCTGTCCAGCTTTACATCCCACTTTGCTCCTGAAATCCTGGGTGAAGCCTCAGCTGTGACCCACAAGGTTTTGGTGTGATGATGTCCCAGGAGTTTGGGAAATCATTAATGCTGCTGGATTTGCTCTGTGGCTGTTTAGCAACACTCAGGAAAGGCCCTTTGTCCCCTAGGGATGTCCATAGGGATGAGAAGTGCAGCACAGGTCCTTGGTGGAGGTTTTTGGGGTGCTTGGACACCCTTTGTGTCTTTGTGGATGCCTGTGGAGAGGACACGGGCAGGAATGTGGATCCAGCCAAGGAATTTGTTATCACTCCTGGATGGCTTCTGGCTCTGGGCATGCTTGTGTGTCCACAGCTCTGTATCTGCACAGCTCAACAACAGTTTGTGGTATGGAACAAGTGCTGTCTGCCATTTCCACGGAGGCTTCACCAGGGACACACAGCATGCCCTGGCTGCTCATGTGGGTGAGTGAGTTAAGGTTCATGACATTACATGGGATATGCCATGGCAAAGGTCAATGGAAACACATTGGAATTTACTTTATGAGGCAGGAGTGTGGATGTGAGCTGTGATTATTTCTATTTCAGGGCTCACAGTGTGCCCAGGACACACACTGAGGGCAGCCAAGGCAGCACATGCCTCTTCCTGAAAGCTCTTACAGCCTGAGCTGGGAGGTGAGTGTGTTTGAGAGGGGTATGAAGGTGGAGTCAAGCTCCAGTGTTTGTCAGAGTCTCTTCTGAGAGACCTCTGCTTGTGGAAAGGTGGGCTCTGCACTCACTGCAGGGTGGGGAGAGGAAGGTGGCAACACCTCTGCAGGACTCAGATGAACCCAACCCTTCTGCTGCTCAGCTCTGCAGGGGCTGCCTGCTCACCTGCTGTGAATGTGCAGCAGCTGCCCGTGAGGAACTCTGGGGTCGTGCTCTGGGGAGGTGCTGGGAAGCTCCAGCCGTGTAATTTCTGTCAGTCTGCTCCAGAGTGTGGAGATCAGAGCTCAGGCAGATTCCTCAGTGGAGCAGAAGGGAGACCTTCTGCTGGTTACAGTGAGCTGGACCTGAGATGTCCCGGAATCAGCAACCTGCTTGGACCACAGCACAGCAAGATGCACTTATCTGGAGCCAGGTAAATTAAAATTAGGAACAGGGAAGTGCCCGTGTGAAGGCATTTCATATG